GATGGGTGGACACACACGCGCTAAGCAGACGGGGGAAGACTAATGTCGATCACTGAATTAACCTTTAACAGCGCTGCGTAAAGCTGTCAACGGATACGTATGCCGAGTTATAGAGGCGGCAAATCTATTATATATATATATATATGGTGTTGAAAGAAAACTCCTTCTCGTTTCTCTACACATGCAACTCCCAAGAGGCCGAGGTAGCGTGAGCTTAAACGGCGTACTTCTTGTACTGAAGCGTTGCCACCGCCGCGAAGAGAAGCCCACACAGGCACGTGTTCATCCACGCTGTTTGATGGCGCTGCAAGAAACTGCTCGTGGCCCGGTTGTGCACCTCCCGCATGAGCTGCGCCACGGCGTCACGACTCCCCGACGCATTCATGCGTTGTAGAATCCTGGACACTTCAGCCTCTTCCTCCGCACACGCCTGCAGCCGCTGTTCTTCTTGCACGGTTAAGTTCTGCATAGAGGCGGTGCAGCGCTGCGACGCGGCGGCGACTTCGGCGTACAACGCGGCCAGCCCATCCTGCTCCTCCTCATTGCCGGCGCTCGCCGTGGAGGCCATCGAGCCCGTTCCGCCGCCTACCGCTTCATGCAGCGCACGACGTCGCCGCTGCACCTCCGCCGCCGCCGCCTCCACGGCGCGTTGATGATGGGTGGTGGCCCGGCGAGACTGCGCCACGGCCGCGGCGACGTCGGCCTTTTCCTTCGTCATCGCGTGGAGTTGCACAGCGAGTTCGCGCCCGAGCGCCACTTTTGCTGGGTTGACGTGCTGCGGCTGAGCTGCAGTCCCTTCGTTGCTCTTTGCCGTGGACGGCCCTGAAGGAATGACCGGCATGCGTTTGGCGAGTATTTGTATCTTGTGGCTGATGTCCTCCAACGCGGCACGCCTTTCATTGCGTCGCACGGCGGCTGCGGCTGCGGCGTCGGCGTGACGCTGTTGCTCCAGTCTCGATGAGCTGCTCGCAGTTTCCGTTGCGTGCAGTTGTGCCTGCAGCGCCTCCACTAGCTTCGAGTGTGTGTCCTGGACCTGGACTTGACCCCATCGCTGCGTCAGCTCTCGCGGCTGCGCTTCGTCCCCCTCCTGCTGCTGCTTTACCCTTGTCTCGCACCGTCGCACCGCCGCTTGAGCAGACGTGTGAGCCTCCTGCAGCTGATGAAGTGCCTCCTCGCGCTGTGCCAGCTGGCCTAGCAGTTTCTCGACTTCCTCCTGATGCATCTTCGCTTGCTCTTGCAGGGCGGCGTGCGCGGCGTGTAGCTGGCGTTCGGCTTCGGCGGCGGCGTTCTCTGCCTCCTTCACCTCCGCTGCGTGCTGCTGCTGTGTTTGCTGTGCCTGCTGAAGCGCTGCCGTGTGGGTGAGCTCCAACCCCTGCACAGTGTTCTGCTGCGACGTCTGCGCAGCGAGGGCATCTAGCAGCTGTTGCTTGAGATCTTTCATGTGCTGTCGCTGCTGCGCGGCGATCGCAGCTTCCGCCTCCCGCTGGGAACGACGTTGCTGACGACCTTCGTAGTGCGCCATCACGGTCTGGAAGCAGCGCGCCCTTCCACCGTCACGACGCACCACACCGTGTCCTTCGAAGGGGAGGACTGGGAGATGGTGTTGGAGGACTCGCCGGAGGAGCTGCGCCGCGCCATTGTCGACGACGTCGCCGCCATCTGCCAAGTGCCGAACCGCGCCGTGACGGGCGTGGAGTGGGTGCTGGGCAGCCTGCACGTGCGGTGTGACGTGTGCCACCCGGCCAGCGTGGCGGGCGATGCGCTGCAGCAGGCGCTGGAGGACGGCGCGTACCCTTTCTGCCGCCGCCTCCTTCGCCGTCAGTGGCACAAGTGGACGCGCGTGGAGGGGCTTCTCCATCGCCTCGCACACCAGCTGCTGCTGCTTGTTGGTGAGCGTAAACACGGAGCCTGCTAACGGCACCGCGTCGTCGCTGGATGTGTATCCCAGCACACACAGAATACTGCTTCGCAGGACGTAGGTGTTGTGGACCGCCCCTGCCGGAGGGCAGAGCCATTGGGAGCCGGGAGGGGGGAGCGGCGAGACATGCAGCTGTTGTTGCGGTTGGCCGACGGTGTTGTTCGCGCCGGGCGGCGTCTGCGTGGTGGAAGACGCAACAGCGGAGGTGGTCGGGATGGGTGAGCCAAAGGAAAGCTTGTCTTTTGCGAACCTTGGGGAGAGCTGCCGTGAGCGTGAGCGCGGGGTGGCTGGTGACGAATTCGTGGTGGTGGTGGGCTGCTGCTGTTGTGACGCTTGCGGTTCTTTCGGTGTACCTCGTTGCTGGGCACCAGCTTCAGGAGGACGTGGCGACGGCACCGCTGCCCCATTAGCGGAGATGACACCGCCGGTGCTCTTCCGCAGCTCCTCCTCCTCCTCTTCCTTCTGCTGCTGCTGCTGCTGCTGCTGCCGCCCCTGTTCGTGGAGGAGGGCGTCCAGCTCCGCCTCCAAGCACTCCAACTCCGCCGCGCCCGCCGCTATTTTCTGCCGCGCCACGGCCAAGGCGGCGGTGCTCGACTCCTTTTGCGCGAGAAACCTCGCGAGGCTCCCGTCGGCGTCGGCGAGCTGCGCCTGCCGCATCACCCACTCCTGAAACTGACCCAGAGCCTGACTGCCCTTCATCGCCACCGCGTGCGAGAAGTTCCGCTCCGCAATGTACTTCTTCTTCACTTCCTCAAGGCGGGCTTGGGTGAGCTGCGCCGGGTCGTACAGCGCCACCCGCGCGATGAAGGAAGGCGTGCGCATCACCGTCACCACCTCCGACCAGGTAGAGGCCTTCTCCCCCAACACACACAACACCGCACTCATAACGAGCTGCACCACCGCCGGCGGTAGGCGATAGCCCTGGATCTCCTTTAAGGCGCGAACATCGATTTCCTGCACCTTCTCCTGTGCCTCCCGAAGATGCTGCCGTGCGTGCTGCAACTGCGTCTGCGCTTTCTCCTGCGCTTTCTGGAGGTCGTGCTGCTGCTGTCGCGTCTGCTGCAGATCCGCAAGAGTCTGCTCAATGCGCACGCGAAATTCAGCCCGCTTCGCCTCAATTTGTCGTTGCAGCGACGGGTCGGCGGCCACCGCAGCGGAGGCCTCGCTGATAGCGCTCGAGGTGCTTCGACCCCGTTCGCCATCGCGACTTGTGGTGGCCGTCAGCACACGCGTGTACGCCGCCGACAGCGCCTTCGCCAGGCGGTCTTCGTCATCCTCCGCACCGGACGGCGCGTCACTGTGGGCGGAAAGCGGCATGCCCTCCTCCTTCTCCTTCTCCTCCTTCAGTGACGTCTGCACCGCGTTCATCTCCGCCAAACACGCGGACGGACCCCCTGCAGAGAGAAGACGGGGAGAGCCACCAGCCGCACCAGCTGCACCAACGGCGACGGAGGATGGGGAAAGTGACTCGCCGTTCGTCATCGCCGGCCCCACACTGCAGCTGTTGTAGTCGCCTTCTTCGTCTTTGTTGTGACTGCGGTACGCTGCTGGCGTCGCTGTGGCGAGTGATATCCACGGCTGAATTTCAGCCGTCTGGCACGTTGTCTTGCGCGTGAGCGTAATGGACGACAAGGAGGAGGTCAGATGCGTACGTGGGATTGGGGGAGATGGCGGCGACGGCGTCATGGGCTTCTCCGACGCCGCGAGAGCACCACTCCCCTCTCCCTCCTCCTCGGCGGTGTTCGAGTTGCCTTTCACGGGCTCGCTCGTCGGGTTGAAGCCGTCCGACGGCGAGGTGCAAACAGCGGGGGTGGCGAGGGCGCGGACGGCACCGATGCGCCACGACGTTGTACCGATGGTGTCATCCAGCAGGCACTCGTACGCTACGATGGCACCAACTTTCAGACGTAAATCGTCTTCTTCCTGCTGCTGCTGCTGCTGCCCCAACACGTCCGAGCCGCTTCCATTCATTGCTTCGACTGAGCTGCTAATGACTTCTTTCCCCCCCTCTTTTTGGAGGTATATAGCAGCGCCACAAATAGGAGGGCGGTAATGTGGAAATGCCACCACTGTAAGGGAGCGAATGACACAATCCGTCACTCGATGGTGTTACTAAAAATAAAATAAAGACCAAGTAGAGACTTCCCCCATAAGCCCCCCCAAAAAACACGCTACTGCCGTTCCCTCTCTCTTGCTGTTGCTCTTTGTATACAGAAAGACGCGCTGCCATGACGTGGAGATACATATAACACCGGCGCACAGGCAGCAGCAGCGATTCAATAAAGAAAGAGCCAGTAAAAGAGAATGCCAGTAAATACGGACAAGGAAACATCGTTGACGTGGATGATGAAGCTTCTTTCCCTTTTTTGGCAACACAACGTGCTCCGGGAAAGGGCAACGCTGCACCGCACATGCACACGAGAGGAGTGGTGCCTCCGCTTTGGTTTTGATTCTGCCCTCGTGAGCCTCACTGTGCGCTCACCTTACGCCGTAGCGTCCAAATACTACTTGTTTAGAAACAGCATTTATTATGATAATACGGCCCCCAACAGGAAGGACGCACGTAAAGCAGCCGGTCTCTTTGTCGTAGTATATGTATGTATATATATGTATATTTCCGGACAGTCTATTATGATGACTGCCGCGGCATTTAGAGAGAGAAAAGCCTACAATCCAAGATGGCTTTCGTTTAAACGCGCAATCGCCTCACTCACGAGCCGAATTCGATACTTAATTCGAAGCGCCTCCTTTGACTTGCTCGTGATCATCTCCCTCACCACCGACTCCTTCTTCTTCAGAAATGCACGAGCTTCCTCCTGGGACATGGGCAGCACCACCCCACAGCCAAGGTTCACGTACACCACACTGGCGTCTCTCACCACGCCTTGGGTGTAAAAGTGGTGCCCAAGGTCCACGAGGATCGTATTGCGCTGCGGGGGTGTGTACGCGTTCGCCTGCGCACGCTTGCTCACAGGCGATGAGGACGAGGCCGAGATACGATTACTTGTGCTCGGGGCAACAGCCGCAGCACCATCAGCAGCAGCTGCGGACGCTGAGGTCGCACTCGCGGCTTCGGCGGCGGAGGCGGCCTCGACAAACGAGTGGTAGCGCGACAAAGCCTGCATGTCCTCCATCAACCAACGAAGCTGAGCGCACTGTGCGACGGTGTTGTAGAGCTCCTCGCGCTGCGACAGCACGGTGTCTAAATTCTTCTTGAGGACGGACTCGAGAAAGCGCTCGAGGTGCAGCACGCCAGGCGGTGCCGGCGGCGGCGGCGGCGCGGAAGACATGGAGGACTCCGTACGGTCCTTTCCATGGTGACGAAAGGAAATTGAGAAACGGGAGAGAGACCAGAGGAAGGATGCGACAAGAAAAGTCAAGGGAGGTGCCAACGGGGCGTACGTGTCAGCCGCCGCGGCGGTTTATCTTGTGAAGTTCCGCATTGTCAGCGATGCCACCACCAACAGAAAACCTCGCGGTAAGTCAACTGTTGTGAGCAGCTATGGAACTCTTTCCTTTTCTCTTCTGTGAGAGCCCTTCTTACGTCAGTTGCACATATAAATTCCACAGAATGCCGGTAGAAGTGGCGCCAAGAACCACACCCACAAACAGCGTCAACAGATTCTCACGCACAACGCTGGCCCCTTAGACGTCACAGGTCACCCGCAGTGCCCTCATCGGACGCCGCATCGTCCTCCGGCGCTGGCATCACAGCATCTACGTCAAACACGGCTGTCGCGTGTTGGTTAGGCAAACGCAGCACCACACACAGCTCCGCCTCGTCCAACTCAAAGCGAACCAGCAGCCGCTCCCGCACCGCGTGCAGCTCCCAATGCACAATGAGCTGTGAGACGAGCTCATCCTCCACCAGCCGCCGCAAGGCGTGTCCGTTCTCTTTGCCCGCCCACGCCGCTCGATGCTGCTCGACCAAAAAAGCCACGGCGTCGTCGCTGATCCAGCTCTCGGCGATCAGATGCTCACCCAGCGCGCAGGGCAGGTCGGTCACGACGCTGCGCACCACCTCCTCCGCGACCTGCGTCGTGAAGGGGAAGAAGACAAAGGTGCGAGTGTAGGCTGGAAGCAACGTGCCGTAGAGGGAGGCGAAATCGTGCTGCACCATTGCCTCGATGTCCGCGCGTGACTTGCCAACGGTGCGGCCCTGACGACCAAAGTCGGTGGTGATGAAGACGAGCAGCTGCGAGAGCGGCGGTGGCGGCTTCAGCGGGGACGAAAACGGCCTCCACGCCCACGACAACAGCCCCTTTTGACTGCTACTGCCACGGAGGTGATTATCGTTATTCACGTTACTACTGTGGGTAGAATCAGCCTGCGGGTCCGTCAGCTGCTCCGCAAAGTGGCTTGCCCGCCCAAACAGTGGTGCCAAGGCGGCGACCAGTGCAGGCTCCATCGCGGTAAGGTCGTCGATCAACACCACCCCATGCGGGTAGTGCTCCATGTGGGCCGTAACCTGCCGCACAATCCGCCCTCGTGCCTCCGACACCGGCATCCCGTCAAAGCCGGTCCCGGCGATCACCAGCAGATTGTCACCGGCGTCGCACACGTCACGGTCGGCAGCGCAGCGCAGCGACAGCGCCTGCGACACCAAACGGGCAGTGTGCGTCTTGCCGACTCCATTGTCGCCGGCGAGGTGCACTACAACGGGCTCACGCGGGAACGCCAGCTTGCGGCGCAGCACCTCGAGCAGCGGCTTAACCACCTGCGGCTGCCCCCGCACGCGCGAGGCCAGCAGATCGGTTGCGTCCCGCACGCACTGCGCCCGCACGGCGTCGTCCGTGGCAAAGGGGAGCTCTAAAGGGTAGCGATGGCGCTGCTCGCGGTAGCTTGCCCCTGCCGCCGTCGCAGTGGCCAGCTCCGACCCACCGCTGGAGAAGAGGGAGAGCGCGTAGCTCGAGGTGCTGTGGCAGTACTTCAGGCGGTCACGCAGGGAGGTCTGCCGACGTGCGCACAGCGGGCAACGCGGGCACAGGGAGGAGGTGGAGGTAATGGTGGACACAGTTGGGCTTGCACGTGCCAGCTGCGGGAGGGCTACACATGAAAGCAGCAGCACCAGCAGCGACAGCGATAGTACCGCGATCCTCACAGTGGAGGAGTACGAAAGCTGTGGCACGGCGCGCCGCTTTTCACGTCGCGCGTGGCAGGGCATGAAAGCGAAGGAGCGAGCGGATACGTGAACGAGGAGACGCCCTGGAAAACAAAACAGAGCATAGCAGTCGCAGCAGCACAATACCCACGAAGAGGCGGGGAGTCCGGTAAAGAGAGAAGGAGAAACCACCAACAACAACAGAAAGGGCGCAAGCAGAACACACAGCGGTTTCCTGCTTGTGTGTGTGTGTGTGAGTGCGGATCTGCTACGCCTTTCTCAGCCGCCAGAGAGGGAGAGAGACAAGAAGGGGTGACACTATGCAGTTTACGATTCATCAACAACAGAGCTTCTGCTAGCCCACTCACCGATGCAACGTCAATAAGGCGCTTGAGGTGGGAGGGGAGAGGAGGACACAGCCAGCCAAGAGGATCTTCGGGTAAGCGTGGAGGCAGCTTCGTGAGCAGCGCAAGAGCATGTATACTCGATGCCTGAGCTAGGAAGGATGTCATGATGCAACGGTAGCATCTTGAAATGCCCCATAGTAACCTTTTTTTTCCTCCTTTCTAACCTTGCGGTAGTCTTCGACTCTCGCCGTTCGATTCCTTTTCGCGGCTGAAAAAAGCACACGGGACGAATTGCTGGCGAAGAAGACGCCGACGAGCGCAGAGGAATCCGCGTGGGCTGAGGCGAATGCGGTACCCCCTCCGGATACCTCCGACAGTGACGGCGAGGCCCCTCCCCAGAAATGACAGGGATCGCATCGCGGCGGCGATTCGCACGGGAGCACGGCCAACGGCTCACGCCGCCAGCACGTATTCTACCATCGCGTGGCGCCCGTATGCGGACTGTCGAGGACCAGCCGCCTCCGCCGATGGAAACGTTGCCGACGCCACTGCGACGTCACCCACCGCCGACCCCGACAGGGTCTACGCCTGGGGTCAGACCAACTGCGGTGAACTGGTCCCTGGGTACGTCAGGGCAACCGAAGGCAGGTTTCTTTCCGCAGCCAGCCCAACCCCAGGTTCCTGGGCTAAACTCCTCACCCATGCGCACCCCACCTGGATCTACCTGTGGCGACGCGCCTCCAGCGAAGCCCCCGTTGCGAGACGCAACACGCGGAAAGACCGCCCGCCGATGTTGTTACCACAGGCAAGCGGAAGAGGGAGATGATCGAGGACTACCCAGAGGTGTCCGACGAGCTCTGAGTACGCGCCGGCTATGTCGGCAAACACCGCCGTGCCAGAGCAGCGTGTGGGTCCTCGCTGTCGTCTCTGTACACGTGCCCATCAGCGCGGTGATCGCTGCCTGACCACCGGACGCTTCCACACTTTGAGTGAAGGCGGAGTAGTTGCCGGCATAGCCGGCGCGTACCCAGAGCTCGTCAGTGACGGCTGGGTAATCCCCGATCATCCCTCTCTTCCACTTCCCTGTGAGGAACCATCAACGTGGGCGATGCACAAATCGGTGGTGCGGAGGTACCTCAACCACCTGCAGCACCATCAGGTCTCCGCGACATCAAGCACCGTAGCTGCCTTCCTGTATACGCTGGACATCAGCCCTTCCAGCGCACTACAGTACTACGGTACTCTGCACCGGTTCCTGGCGAAACCGCTCGACCTTGGCCAGATGTTTGCCGAGGCGCTCCGCATGATGAAGACCATGACTCCCCATCCACCAAGCCATGCCGATGACGTTCGAGCACTACCAAGAGATTCTCCAGGCGGTTCCTAACGAGCGGGATGCCGTGATGTCTTCGAGTAGCGTGGCTCACGGCGAGTCGCCGGGCGGATGGGGAGATGCTATCCGCCTCGGCATTCAAGGACCACATGGTGGATCCGATGGCACTCATCGTCGATTTCTCGTTCCACACGTAGACCTTCAAGGTGGACCCCGACAGGCAGGGCAGGTACGCCACGATCACCAACCCGGATGCCGCGATAATTCGCCAGGCGCTGGCGAAGTTGCCCGTCAAGAATTTCTCCAGTGGCCACGATGTCTACTCAGCGGATGGGCAGTTTCCTGAAGAGGAACAGATACTCGGCTCATTCCATCAAATGAGGAGCGCTGGTGCACGCGGCGATGCACATCTACCAAACAACGGCGGTTGCAACCTCACCAGGTCTGCACACGGTCACCACTTTGGGAGAGCACGCGGACAATCCGGAGGCTTTTCTCTCGCAGCACCGCCCGGCTACATCGGGGCCGCACTCGGTACTTTTGAATCGCACAGAGACAATGACGCAAAGTGATGTCTCGAGCCTTTGTACCGACACCACACACGAAGTAGAAGATCCATGGGTCCCGCCGGAAATGGCGTGCAAATTGCCCGGGGAGGGGGGGGGGGTTCTCGCCATACGCTCACCCGGCGACACAAGACGGTCCGGGTGGCCTCACAGGAGCAGACGCTGACGCTGCCGTTACTGAAGGTCGACGCCTCACCAAATGAACCTGGACCCGGTCGTGGCACGTATGAGTTCCGCCACGCGCAGTCGATTTGGCGACGTCTGGCACACCATCGGGGTTGAGCCGCACACGCAGGACGCGGAGCCGACAGGCACGCTTTTTGCGAAACAGTCGCGACTCGGCTGATCAATGCTGGCCTCTTGGAAGGCGCAGACGCGGAGGAGACCCTGAAGATGGTTCCGCCCCTTCACGGTGGTAGAAGAAAAGGAAGGCGGCATTCGGCGACGCTTCAATTGCGTGGACAGAAGCGAAGAACGCCAGCAACGCGTGCGACCCGGTCGATCAAGAAAGCAAAGAGATCAGAAACAGAAGAAGGAGGTAGCGGAGAGTGACACGCGTAGGAGGGAAAATGAAGACCGCCAACGTCAGAGTTTCATTCATGGGTGTCTGCGGCAGCACACACACACACACACACACACGAATAGAGAGCACCTGCTCTTGCTTCTTGGAGAACGGGGACGAAAAAGACAAGAGAAATAAACATCGGGAAGAGGTCATTTATGAACTCTCCGTGCGCTGCGTCAGCAGCAGAGATAGCTTTCGACGACGTTGGATGCGCCGTCCTCCAGCGCTACGAACTACTCGTTTCTCATTGTCCTTCTTTTCCCTTATGGTCCGTTAAAGGAGAGAGAAACAATGTGTGATCCAACAGAGGAAGCAGTCCCAGCCTTCCACAGATGATTCTTCCAACAAAGCAGTACCCCCTTCCCCTAAACACGCACGCACCTCAGCGTCACTGCGGCGGGCCGCTCGGGGGGCCAAAGTTCGGCCCGGCCGGGCTCGCACTCTGCGCCTCATTCGCCACCTCCCGCGACGCCACTCCACCGATGTCGTTCCACACCCCGCTCTTCATCGAGCGCGAGCCGAACTTCGCCCGTCCGCCCTTCCGGCGGGCGAGCTGACCGCGACGGAAGATCACGGCCTGTTCCATGACGCGGTCCATCAGCTTCTGCTGCTGCCGTGGCGCCACACCACCGTGCATGCCCGCCGTCTGCGGGTGGAAGATGGGCCGCCAGGTCGCGTTGTGATGGATGTAGGTGCGCTCTAGGTGCGCCGGGATCGTCTTGCGTGTGATGAGGGAGACGTAGGAGCGGGTCAGGGAGTTCATCTTGTGTGTGCGCCACTCCGCGTAGCGCGGGCGCATCATGTCCGATTTGTTGTTGCTGAGCCCTTCCATGGGAATGTTGTCCTTCAGGAAGGCCTTCATCGCGGAGACGATGACGCCTTGGTGCTTGTTGTAGAGGTTACACACGAGCCCCTCACGACCCATGCGGGCGGCCCGCCCGACACGACTCAGGTACGTCAGCGCGTTGGTCGGCACGTCAAAGTTGATGACAAGGTCCACGTGCACGTCGAGTCCACGCGCGGCGACGTCCGTGGCACATAGAATGCCCGTCCGCCCCGATGCGAAGTCCGCGTACATGTCCTTCCGAACCTTGTAGGGCAGCGAGGCGTGCAGAAGCGACACGGCAAAGCCCTCGCCGCGCAGTTGATGGAAAACGGCGGTGGTGGCGTCGATGTTGCGGAAGAATATGATAGTGCGACGCCCCTCCGCGAAGACGGTGCGTGGGATGGGGCAGGTGAAGGGCGCCGCGACGGTGGTGAGGTGCTCCCAATGGAGGGGGCGGACCCGCTCGAGGGAGTAGCGTGCGAAGGAGTCGTGGACGTAATCCTCGGCGTCGTCCCTCTTCCCCTCCTCATCGTTGCTCCGGTGACGACGCACGTCGCTCGGCGCTGCAGCCGCCGTCGTGAGGGGTGAGGTGCGCTTCTCCATCTCTGTTGCCCCCAAAGCGGATGTGCCGTCCACTCCTGCGTCGGGCGCCACTTCGTCAAGCTCTGTCGTGTTAGCCTCCCACACCGCCTCTTCTTCCTCTTCCTTTCCTTTTCGAGTATCGTCTTCGCGCTGTTCGTATCGACGCTGGCGGTAGTGCCGCCGCTGGTCGTCCCGCGCCATCGCTTCATGCCACTCCGCCAGAGTCCCCGAGAGCTTGCGCGGCGCTGTGTGTACGTCGGTCACCGCCGTGTCCGTGTCCACCCGCACCGAGACGTGGCCGTTCTTCCGCAGCAGGTGCAGCAGCACAGTGAACTTCTCCGGCTCGCGGCGGATTGGGTAAAAGCGGTGCCGCAGACGGGCCGGCGGGCGATGCATCTGCTGACGGAACATGCAGGTGACCGGGTCCGCTATTTTGTTGCCCACAATGTACTCTAGTTTACGCGTCATGTAGGCGGTGCTGAAGACGTACTGGGTCTGCACCGGCCACAGGTACTTGAACTGGTTGCGCTTCTGGATCTTCATGAGCAGGTGAACGGCCTCGTGGTCGTGCAAGGGGCTGAGCATCGCGTCTGCCTCGTCGATGGCGAAGTAGCGAAGGTCCTCAATGAAGAGACGCCGGGTGCGGAGAAGACGCAGAATGAGTTTGGGGTCCATAACAAGCACGTCCGCCAGCGTGGACTTCAGCATACGAGAGAGGTGGTACTTGGAGCGCTTGCGTGAGGTGAAGCACGCAGAGGTGAGGCCGGTGGCGCTGTCCAGCGTCGCACACACCGACTGCAGCTGCTCCACCAGCTCCTTCGTCGGGGCGAGCAGAATCATCCGTGGGCGGCGCTCCCGCAGAGCAATTTTGTACACGTCGCGGTCCTTCATCATGTTCTGGTAGAGCGGCAGCAGAAAGGCGAGCGTTTTGCCTTCTCCATGCGGTGCGGCAATGACGGTGTTTTTGCGCTGTAGAACCGCCTCCATCGCCGTCTGCTGGATCGGCGACGGCGTCGAGACGCCCATCTTCTCGAGTGCCGTCAGCAGCGCCGGGTCAACGAGCATGTCGTCGAAGTTATCGATGGTTTTCATCTTTACCGGCTTCGCCAGGAGCGGGGAGTGCTGCGCGCGGGAGGGGGAGAGGCTTTGCAGGACGAGGTGACTCGCAAGGTGATCGGTGCGTTCGCCGATGGACTGGCTGAAGGTGCCGCCGTAGGCCTTCAGCTGCCGCGGCACGATGAGGGTGCGCATCGGTGTGCAGAGGGCAAACGGCTGCTTCTTCAGCTCCCCCTTCGCAATGCTGCTGCTGCCGCTGCTGGTATTGCCGGTCGCCACACCCGCGGCACATCGGTGGTGAACCGAGTGACTGCTGTGACGCAGAAATGCGCTGCCCATCGACCTCAGCAACAGCGCCGCGGAAGGTGCTCGTGGAGGCACCAGTGGGGCCGCCGCCGCTGCTACGGTGCTGCTGCATCCATTACCTGTCGCGACACGCGAGATGAGACTGGCAAGGAGCAGACGAGCCTCAGTCGCCTGCATGACACCACACACACACACACACACACACACAGATTAAGAAGATAAATAAATGCACACAGACACACACCTGCTGCTACAAACATGAAGAGGAAGAGCCGTTTTCGAGTAATTTGAGGAGGCACGAAATGCGTGAGGAAGTGAAGGTGAGACGATAGCAGTGATGATGAGAGGAAACTACTTTTCCCAAGAGGGCAGGCTGGCGTGCGCAGGATAACATCATCATTACATGAAAGCAACAACACCCTGCGCCGTTGTCACCATCATCGTCGTTGCTCCTGCATGGAGGAAAACCCAAAACGCAAAGTCAGAATAAGGAAAGAACACTTCTATGGCGCCCTTTCGAAGCTGTCTCACACCCGTTCCCTTTTTTTTTGTTTTAGCGCCAAGACGTCGATCCAGTTCATTTGCTTCGTTCCGCTGCTTTAGTTTTCCCTTACTTAGACGTATTATTCCTCAACCAGGTGAGAAGGTGGTAGAAGCCCCCCTCCCCTCCCCCCGAGCAAAAGGAAAGAAAAAAAGCGTAAGTGACTAAGTTGGCTGATTCTGTCCTCGTGGACGCTTTACGCTGGCACGCCTTCTCCCCCCCCCCCACCTTCGTATTTGCTCTGCTTGCGCATCAGAGCGCATCCAGGTACGGAAACGAACGCAGAACTACGACGACGCTCAAGCAGAACGCACCTCAACACACAAAAAAAGGCGATGTGTATATATTTAACCAAGAACTTTTTCCATCTTTGCTCTCTTAGAAATAATAAAGTGCCACATGCGCCGTGAAGTTCTTCGCCCTCATTCAATGTTACTTTTCCCCCCTCCGCTTAAAACCCTCACCACGTGGGCCGCTGCCTTCGTGCGAACTCGTGCGGCGCTGTCGCCGCGCCTGCCCTTCGCAAAAGGAAAGCGTAAAGAGAGAACACACACAAACAGCAACAACAGCGGGCGGAGTAGCTGTACCCTATTCCACCACCAGCGCCTTCTTCGCCAGGGCCATCGCGCCCTCGTACGTCTTCATGCCACCAATAAAGCCGGACACGTGCACAAAGACACCGCCGTCGATGCCCGCGGCGGTGCTGAGGTCGTCATCGCGGAGTCCGCGGAAGGGCAACGGCTTGCGGTTCTCAAAGCTGGTGCTGGTCTTCGGCACCGCCTGCACACGCCACCCTTTGCCATCGCTAAACACCACGTACAGCACTGCCCCAACGCAGTGCTGCTCCCCCTCCAGCTCCAACAGGTGATCCTTCCACGGACACATCTTGTCCTCGAAGACCACGATCTTGCCACTCGCATCGAAGGTGTGACGGGCCGCGAAGGCAGCCGCAACGATAGCACGCGCCGGCAGCCAGGAGAAGGCCAGGTACGTCAGGGCCTCGAAGAACTCCGTCGCCGCCATCTCCACCGCCACCGCAAAGGCAGCGTTCTCGGCGACCACGCTGCCGCTGTCCGGCTCGTTCCAGTAGGACTGCAGCTGGCCGATGCGCTGGGACAGGTTTGTGGACTGCTTGTAGTTCTGTCGCAGCTGCCCCACGGCGGGGTCCACCAGTCCCCAGCACTCCACACCGTTATCGATCCCGTCCACCTGCTCCACAAAGTTGGCGTAGAGGGCGTCCTCCAGCACATCCAGCTCCTGCTCCGTCATGGTCGTGCGAGTCGCGGACCAGTTCGTCATGGCCAGCACGGCAGCCCGCACAGGGGACGACGACTTCAAGGCGTCCTCGATGTACTGCTGAATGATGCGGCGGCCGTAGTGCTTGTACACCAGACCCGCCGAGGAGAGACGAGTCTGGTAGGTCCCCTTCGGGGTCGTCATGGTGCCGTGAAAACTGGCTTGGTGGTGGTCAAAGCGCAGCTTCTCCGCGTCGTACACGGCGCCGACATCCACCACGATGTCGCACGCGTCGATCTGCTTCGGGTCGCGGGTGCGCAGGACGGCGGCGTCGCGGTATTGCGGGAGCTGCCGCAGCAGCCCGCAGGCCATCGCCTCATCACAGTGAAAGCTGCCATTGTGCGTGCAGATCACCGGTTTGGAGTTGCCGCTGCCGCTACTGGAGGGGCGATCCGCGAGGTTCGCCAGCACGGTGAGGCCGTTCAGGTGGGTGGAGACGTACTCGCTCACAAACTTGCGCGCGCTCATCTCTGCGTGTGTGTGTGCGGGCGTGTCTGGGGAAGGGGGGGGGGGTAACGGTGGAAGAGAAACTGGGCGACGTAAAACTATTGCGTACGGCGTATAGCGGTCGATAAGGCAAAGAAAGAAAAATAAACGACATATTTGTAGTAGTGGGAGATGAAAGCGAAGGAGGACCGATGAAATTAAAAAAGGAAAAAAAAACGCACACACACGCGCGCGGGTGATCCTGTTGTAGGCGTGCCGAGTGCCACTGACCCGTGTCATGTGACCATGCGCAACGACAACAACGCCCTTCTGTGAAGGCGAAAAGAAGAAGAAGCAGTCCGTCAATTTCGCGCATGAGTCTCGCTATTTCCTTTTTTCCCCTTTCCTTCTTTCTCTGGTGCCCGCTTTTGAGGTTGTAGGAGTAGTAGGAGTGGCAACTTACATTACATCACCGCCAAGTTAGACAGCCCGGCCACAGATATATCTTCGAGGCGGGGGGGGGGGGGGAGGGACCTCCTTCGCGGAGAGAACAAAAAATTCCTCTCGACTCATGTAGTAAATGTACAGCACCGAAAAAGAATGGCTGAATAGAAGTTCCATTTTTGTCTTCTTCTTTCCTTGCCGTGCGTGTGCGTGCGTGTGTCTGTGTGTGCGAGGGATCACATAAACGTGGCCACCACCTGCGTCACGAGGTCCTCAACGGCTTCCTTGACGTTCTTCTCCGTGCTCGCGCTGGTCTCGTAGTAACCGGCGCAGCCGTGCGCTTTGGCCCACGCCCGGCCTTGCTCCTCCGTCACCACCCGCGTCTCTCGCGCAGCGCTGCCTGTCCCACCGACGACCGTGTCATCCGCCTTGTTCGCGCAGAGCACCACGATGGGCGCCTTGCCCTCGTTGTTCCCCACCGCCTTACCCGCCGCGGTGTTGCCCGTGACGGTCATCGGCGTGACGGACTGCCGCTTGCCGTCCGGTGCGGCATTCTTCTCCCGCGCCGCCAACCCTTCACAGTAGGTGCCGAGTTCGTCCCACCACGTCTGCAGGTTTTCAAAGCTGCGCGCATCGCGGACGTCGTAGAAGAGGAGAATCCCCTGCGCAGCGTCGTAGAACTCGTTTCGGATTTCGCGGTAGTCGTCATCGCCGGAGCCGTCCCAGAAGTTCACGCGTACCGCGGCAGGAATGCTGCTGCTGCTGCTGCTATTACTGCCGCCGCCCCCTGACGCTCCGGCGGAGCTGCCTGACCGGCGCTGCAGGACGGCGGCCTTGTTCACCTCCACCTTCTTCACACCGAAATCGATGCCAATGGTGGGGATGTACTTGGTCACGAAGCGGCCCTCGCAGTAGCGCTTGATGACGCAGCTCTTGCCCACGCCAACATCGCCGATGGCTAGCAGTTTGATGCGGGGAGAGTCGAGCGCCGCGGCGGGGGAGGAAAGTGGGCTCACTTCGGCAGTCATCGCGTTGTACATTCAAGCGGAAGAGAATGGCGACTGGCTTCCTAAGAAAACCAACTCCTTCTTCTTTCACAACACAAGGCAGTGCAGAGAGCATCCACGGTGAGACGAAAGAGGAGAAGGGGGAGGGGGGAGGAAGTAGAGAAAGGTAGGTGGTCAAATGGAAGACAAGAAGGAGGGAGGATAGCTGAAAGGCAGAAGGGGCTTGCAGGCTGCGCGATGTGCAGGACAGCCAGCCAAACAAGCCCTCAACGCGGCCTCCGAAAACATTTCCGATCACGCTTCACACGCCACCAATCCTTGCTTCATCAGCATTAACGCAAGAGTCCATGTGCGTATATCTGTTGCTGCTGATAGTACTTGTTCAAAAATATCCGAGAGGGACACATGTGTGAGGAAAGAAGAGACGTAAACAAACAAAAAAGAAATAAATGAACTAAGGGATTTATTGTTTTTGAAGGTTCGCAGCTCCTCAGAGCAACAATGAGGAGTGTGCGCAGACACCAGCAGCGTGCTCGCAGCGGCTGGAGAAGAAGAAGTGGAAGGAAGGGGGGGGGGGGGTAGAGAAGAGGC